TTTCCAAGGCTTGTCGCGAATGGGGTTTCTTCCAAGTGGTGAACCACGGCGTTAGCCATGAACTTATGGCTAACGCACGTAGTGTCTGGCGAGAGTTCTTTCATCTCCCGATGGATGAGAAGCAGAAGTTTGCGAATTCGCCCATTACTTATGAGGGTTATGGAAGTAGACTTGGTGTGGTGAAAGGTGCCAAATTGGATTGGTGTGATTATTTCTTCCTTCATTATCTTCCTGAGAAGTTGAAGGATGAGAATAAATGGCCTAGTCTTCCTATTTCATGCAGGTGAACTTTTGTATTGTTATTATTATTATTTTTTCCAATTTTAACGTGTTGAATTGTGTGATTATTTTGATTATAGCGTGATTTTATTTAGTTTTACATAAATTCGTTGGGGAGACTCGGACATGGGACCTATATGTTAGCTTCAATATCATGTTGAAGTGTGTGATCTCATACAGGGGCGGAGCCTACCTTCTGTTAAGGGTTCATCCGAACCCCCTTCGGCAGAAAATATTACTCCATCCGTTTCACAAAGAATGATCTAGTTTGACTTGACACGGAGTATAAGAAAATAAAGAAGACTTTTAATCCTCTGGTCCTATATTAAAGTTATGTCAACGTGGAAAGTTGTTAAAAAAAAGAAAAGAAGAAGAGATCATTCTTTTTTAAACAGACTAAAAATGAAAGAAGGTCATTATTTTTTAAACGGGAGAAGTACTATTTATACCTTGTTAAACTTATTTTTTATTTCTATACAGTAGATACTGAACCCTCTTCGATTAGTTCGTGTGTTAGTTCTTCAAATTTTGAACCTCTTATTAAAATTTTTAGTTCCAATATTGATCTCATAGATCCAAGAAAAAATAATACACTTTTATTTATTTAATTATTGATATATTTTAAAATAATTATACCTCAAAATTTATTATTTTATCGCTAATGAAATAATTTTATAGCTTTATATCTCATGACAATTAATAATACAAGTTTAAAACAATTCAATAGACACATCAACATGATTAGCAATAAATCTTAGTCGACATTCCATCATTCCTCACGTTTATTCTTCCGTGACGAACGTGTTATTGTACATCGGATTTAATTTACTGTAATATAAATGTAACGTTTTCATACGGAAGTTTGAAATGATTGAACGAAAATGAATTGAAAAATTATATTTTATAGTACAAAATTTTCACTAAATTCATGATGAAAAAGATGTCTTTATTATACTTGTTTCATAGATTACATGTCACATTATAAAATAAATTCAGTGATCCAATGATCGATATAAAAGTTTTTTAGTATTAATATTTGAACTCATACATTTTGTGTACTATAATAGAGTTGTAATAAGTTCTAACATCTATCTTCTTTCTTTGAATCAATAATTTTTGTTATTTTTATGACATCTCAGGCATATAATTGGTGAATATGGAGAAAAAGTAATGAAATTATGTGAAAGATTAACGAAAATCTTATCGATAAACCTTGGATTAAATGAAGATTATCTACACACAAAATTTGGTGGAGACAATGAAAGAGGTGCATGTTTAAGGGTTAATTTTTACCCTAAA